GCAGTGTGTTTCTCAGGACGGCTGAAGATCGTCTGTGTGTCTCGTGTTTATGAGCTGTAAGAACTGTGCAGGATTTATATGCTTACAAGCAGTTTCAAAACCCAATGTAGTTTACATTCTCATCTGTATAGCTGTGTGCAATGTGCAGATCTCATTTGTACCATATTTTTGTAAACAATAAATGAATTTAATACTTGATGCAGGTGTTAGTTTTCTCCTGTTTCTGTTGTCATTTTGATGGTAGATATTGTAGGCTAATTTATGCAGCTTGCACCATTACACTGCATTTTGAGCAGACAGAGCAGTCTTAAGTCGCCTATATAAACTTAAAGCACTGTGTTAAACACTATTCCTTTTGCTGTCATTGAACTGACCTATTTTACCGTCTCCAGTAAACCCAGAACGTTTTCACAGCAGTGTATTTTGATTTCAGCTAGGTTTCATTGCAGTAAAACCTTTAAAAGAAAATACTTATAATCTCAAAATAATAAACTAAAGCATGTGTCCTCATTTGTAAGTCGTCTGCTAAATGACTAAATGTAAACGTGTGGTAAACATATCTGAAATATCAAAAAAAGCAAGTCTGTTTGACGGAAAAGTTGTAAAATTAATAATAAAATCAAAGCAATTTTGAAAATACATAAATGATACCTAAATGACACCCAAAACATCAACCTACACTTTTATTGAAGTTTTAGAATATAAACGTTTTTGTTTTTTTTAAGTTTGAATGGATCACGTGACAAAAACCGTTAAACTGGAGGAGCAGGAGCGCGCGAATCTGACAGGAGCTGCCCTGAGGTAAGACGCTGTTCCTGATGATAAACTATATAAATTAAGCAAGAGTTCATTTACATACGAGAATGATGTCATAAAATTTAGTTGTACTTAGTTAAGGTATAATTTAAGAAACACGGCTGGAACATTTGTAATACCTCGTGGCGGGTATTAGATTTTACATGAATCAACTTTTTTGAATTCATAACGGAATTATGCATAAATATCAAAACATAACACAGTTGCTCATGTCTCCGTTTCCTTCAAAATTACGGGGGAATTTTTAAGAAGCCCCGATCTGTTCAAAAGATTCACGAATCCGCTGAAGCCCCGATCTGAATCAAATGATTCGCGTTTGATTCTTCGAAACAAAGTCCTATCTCTTTGAATGGGGGAACATCAAATTCCCCAAAACTGGTCGCCAAGCTTATGATTCAATTTCATATTTGAAATCACCAATGAAATCTGGCAACAATGGTATCATAAATGTTGTTTATTTCGCTCAAATAGCGTTATAAAAAGCTTATTTCTCAGGCTAGACCCGCCAGTGTGCGCATGCGTAGTCCTAGGCGCACGTCTCAACGCTCAGTTTCTATAGCAACCGGGACTTCTAACGGCAGCTGCAGTGACGCGCTGACTTTACCGATTAGCGATTGGCTCTTTTGCTCAGAAGGCGGGGCTTTGTTCGATAGAGCGGCCATATGGAGCGTTGTATCTGTAGTCTTTGAAACTGAATTATTTTGCTCCGTTTCACCCATCACTACTTTATACTTTTTAAAATCATTACAAGCAAATGGATGAATTACAAATGAATGGTAATTATTAATTCATTGACTGAAATAAGCAAAAAAGTATTATGTTTACAAATAAAACATCCATATTTCCATTCCAAAGATAACATCCAACACAAATCTAGAACATACTCAGTGAGGTAACCGGTTTACTGCTAACTAGTGAAACTCTCCATTAATATCCAGTAATGTGAATCATTAGCAAGCAAAATAGATTTACACGCCTGAAAACAACCGTAAAAAGTCTTTATTCAGTAATCATTCCATTTGTAAAAACACAATCTGTATTTTTAAGACAGTGCAAAGTTGATTTTCTCAGATCAGAATCATCTTTAGATGAATGAAGCAGCTCGGCTCGGTTTACAGTCAGAACCACACGGTCCAAAACCACAGACACAGAAGGCCACAGACGGACACAAACGCAGAGAAACTCCACCGGTACAAAAATGCATTGAGATTTGCAGGGCAGGTCTGAAGCGATTAACATGATGAGGGCAGGAGCTCTGGCAGTTTGACTGGCACATTCACTGTCCTATCAGCATTAGTTCTCATACGAGGCTCCTCCCACACCGTCTCTGACTGGCAGGTAAACATATTCAAGTTGCGAGGCCTCTCATTGGCCGACACCCCCCGGTGCTGCTCTGTGATTGGCTAGTATCGGTCCATCAGAAGACATAGATTTTGTCTCGTTGAACCGTGTCGAGGTCGTCGTCCATCGTGAGCAGAACCTGAGACCACAGACAGACAGACAGACCGGTGTTTAGCTGACATGATGATTTTCAGTTCTCTGAGTCTGACCGATGTTCTGGACTCACCAGGAAGGAACCGAACATGGCGATGGAGGACAGGAAGTGCCAGATGTCGTGATCGTCAAAGAAGGAGAGCAGGATGCACTCACGGTTGTGCTCGCGAGACTCCGCTGGAGTTTTCTGGAGACACAGATCGATCAACATCACTGCACACAGGTAACACTAGGGCTGCTTGATTACGACAAAAATCATAATCACGATTATTTAGCACGATTATGAGTGGGCCATATGACCAAAACTTTATTTGAACGATTTATTTAAAGATAGCGATATATATGAATAGTGTAATGTAAAATAAAACAGCATAGACTTCACTGTAAGGATTAACCTTCATTTGTTACTTATTAAAGCTACAAAAGTAGTTCAGTGATTTTGTTTTTGTCTTTTGTTGTTTGATTAATATTAAGCACCGTCGCAGCAGGAATATTAGACTGCTGTCACTTTAAGACCAGTGGAACCTGAGCTTGTGAATACAGTGACGACTTAAGGATCACGACACTCAGCGCAGTGACTATATTCCCTATAACACCACCGCAGGGAAAAAAAATCCACAGACGAAGTCACGCAGTCCATGACGTGGACAGATCGTTAGCGGCTGGTCTATGTGGTAGTACAGTACATCGAGAAGGACATCCAAACGCTCGCCTATCATTCATTGACCTCAAATATGGCTTATCATCTGAAATATGTTAGTAGCAGCAAATTTACATGGCTGCTCAATCTAATGTTAACCTAGAGAAATGTGTGCTATTGAAGTGTCTGTTAGAGGGTGACACGGGAGTGGATTTTCAAACCTCTCCCGACCCACTCCCACAAAAAAAAATCCCGTCCCATCCCAATCCCAGAAGAATTACTCATTCCCTCCCACTCCCGTGTTGTGTTTTTTTGGCAAGAATCTGTCAGTTACAGTAAAAATACAGTACAGATCACAGCGCTGAAGCCCCGATCTGAATCAAATGATTCGCGTTTGATTCTTCGAAACAAAGTCCTATCTCTTTGAATGGGGGAACATCAAATTCCCCAAAACTGGTCGCCAAGCTTATGATTCAATTTCATATTTGAAATCACCAATGAAATCTGGCAACAATGGTATCATAAATGTTGTTTATTTCGCTCAAATAGCGTTATAAAAAGCTTATTTCTCAGGCTAGACCCGCCAGTGTGCGCATGCGTAGTCCTAGGCGCACGTCTCAACGCTCACACATTTTCTATTTGAATTAATTCAGTTGAAAGTAGACATTTCACTCTCTATAGATATATTTTTCATACACAGAGTTTCGGAGTTTCACACTCAAGTTCACGGAGACCGAGACGGCAGAAAGTGCATCCTGTTGCTTTCATTATTTTACAGAAGTGCAACAACATTTTGTTGTTATTGTGAGTGCACACAAATAAACGAAGAGTCTTTACAGATTCGAAAGATGTATTACTTTATCTGTATGACCAAAAATTACAGAGTATTTTGAAATGGAATATCCAAATTCAAATGGAAAACAAATATTCTCAGATTATGTAATCCGTATGAAACATGAATACAGGTGCATCACTACTGCGGAGATGACGAGTGAGTGTCGCCAACTTCATCTCTTAAACAGAGAACGAAGAAAGCAGTAGTTTAGCAATAAATTATTAAAATGTTAATGTAGCCTCCTTACTGCTTTTCCTGACACGTTCATAATCATTACTTCTGCGGTGCGTCGTGGCAAGCTTTATGTGTACTTTACCGATTAGCGATTGGCTCTTTTGCTCAGAAGGCGGGGCTTTGTTCGATAGAGCGGCCATATGGAGCGTTGTATCTGTAGTCTTTGAAACTGAATTATTTTGCTCCGTTTCACCCATCACTACTTTATACTTTTTAAAATCATTACAAGCAAATGTATGAATTACAAATGAATGGTAATTATTAATTCATTGACTGAAATAAGCAAAAAAGTATTATGTTTACAAATAAAACATCCATATTTCCATTACAGAGTATTTTGAAATGGAATATCCAAATTCAAATGGAAAACAAATATTCTCAGATTATGTAATCCGTATGAAACATGAATACAGGTGCATCACTACTGCGGAGATGACGAGTGAGTGTCGCCAACTTCATCTCTTAAACAGAGAACGAAGAAAGCAGTAGTTTAGCAATAAATTATTAAAATGTTAATGTAGCCTCCTTACTGCTTTTCCTGACACGTTCATAATCATTACTTCTGCGGTGCGTCGTGGCAAGCTTTATGTGTGTGCTTGAGTGCTTATTATATGTAGGCAATTAAAAGCTCATTATAATGATTTAAATGGTTTATTAATAAACGTGCAATTAGTCGACTAATGCTTCAAATACTACTAGTCAACCAGAAAAATCTTTAGTCGAGGGCAGCCCAAATAGAAAGTAAAAAAAACAGCATTTATTTGAAATAGAAATCTTTTGTCACATTTTAAATGTCTTTACTGACACTTTTGATCAATTTAACGCATCCTTGATGAATAAAAATATTAATTTATTTAAAAAAAATCTTACTGACCCTAAACTTTTTGATGGTAGTATACATATAACAAATAAAATTCAAGGTCAAAAAGAGGTAAAGTGTGTGTGTTAGTATGTGAGAGTGAGTGTGTGTGTGTGTGTGTGTGCGATGTACATGGGTCCACTGCACTGTCGAATACAGTCTGTGTAGATCACATTCAACATCCTGCGGAAGATCCCCGAGTCTGAAACACACACACACACACACACACACTCCTGCTGAATATGTCAGATATAGTGTGTGTGTATGTGTAAGAGAGAGAGAGAGAAAGAGTGTGTGTGTGTGTGTATATAGGAGTGTTAGGGCTGTGTATCCCCAACAAAGTCACGTTACGATATGTATCCCAACACAGAGTCCACGATACGATACATATCACGATTAGGGCCGGGCGATTTGATCGATTAATTCGAATTTAATGTTTTGCCGCAATTGTATTTTTTAGAAATCGAGGAATCGCGATTTTGAATAGAAATATTACCAAATGTTGCAATTAGACACTTTGACAATATGCCAAACATAACAGTAAAGAAAAAAGAACGATTAACCGCTCACAGGTGACACGCTCTTTTCGCGAGGCACCGTTCACACAGAATGCGCTTTTGTGTTGACAAAGATGCAACATAGACAGTGGAATAGAAAAAACATGCAAGAACATGTGAGTGAACTTACTTTTATTTGAGCGCTGCGTTTTTATAATGCAGTTTCATGCATGAGATGCTGCAAGAGACAAACGCCTCCATATTTACATAGAAAAAACAATGGAAAAGCAGTGCAATCGAATAAAAAACCTGTGAAGAACTTCTATTGTATGTCTTAATATTTCATGTTTGCATCATGGTGACAGACTGAAAGCTGCTGTTCATTGTTTTTAAAGAACAAACATTTATTGTTAATAGTCTACTGGTGTTATACCTTCAGAAGTCAGAAAGAGCTTTATTACCAAGTCTGTTTACACACACAAGGAATTTGACTTGGTGACAGGAGCTTAGGAATTACACAGTAGAGATGGAGTATATCACTAATAAAAGAAAAACAGAAAATGAAATAATGCACTATATACAGAAGTAGAAATATACAGAAATGTAACTGTTTAAATGAATGTACAGATATATTTACAAGTGCACAGTTTAGAAATGTACAATTTTCAGATTCTATGTATAAAAGCAATCATTTTGAATTTGAATTACATTGACTTGAGATTTTTTTGAAGCATTTTCATTGTAGCCTATTATTTTTGAACATATAAAATGTACGAGATAAGTTTGTACAGGATGTAGTTGTAGTCCATGCATCTTTTCTGCATGAACTACAGAGTGATTTGTTTAACATTTACATCATGCTGACAACTTCATGTGTGCTGCACTTAGAATTTTCTTTAACTAGAGCGTTAGTAAAGAAAAAGTTATTGGAATCATGTTGTAGTAACATTTTTTAAGATGAATAGTTAAAAATCGTAAAAAAATCGAGAATCGGTCAAACGTTCTGAAAAAAATCGAGATTTTATTTTTTTGCCAAATCGCCCAGCCCTAATCACAATACAGGACTGCACTAAGTTTCCCTTCAGCAGAATTTAGTAAAACAGCTGTTTATTAAACACTGCATACTATAGGACTGTTGCTAACTATTGGCAGAGCAGGCAGCTGACCTCTGCATTATGAAGGGCCTCTATAACTGTACCACAGTATAATATAGGTAATGGCATGTTTCATGTTTACATTGGGCACTCCTCACCAGGTACAATATTCTGATTGTTTGCATCTTGTTTTTAAGCCCATAAATAATAATGTACTCGTTCTAATAAATTTATATTGTAATGTACTCATTCTAATATATATAAAAAATCATTTTTACATTGCTGGTAGGTTATCATTGCACAAATTAACACACTCTCTACATTTAAAAAATAAAAATTAGAAGCATTCTAAGCTAATGCGCTGTCTTCGCTGTATCTCATGTGCATTTATCCACATGCCACGATATCGATACAGGGCCAGCTGTATCAATACTCGTATCGTCAAATTTCTGTGACGATACATTGTCGTATCGAACACAGCCCTAGTGTGTGTGTGTGTGTGTGTGTGTGAGACCCTGAAAGAAGAAGAACAGAGCGAAACCCCAGACCACAGCGGTGAAGAGAATACACACCAGAGCCAGACACTGGATTCGCTCACCACTGCGCAGCTGCACACAACAGTTCAATCACAAATAAACATCTGAACGAGACTAAAACTCAAATTCAACTGAATGAGTTCAAACACCGGAGCACAAGCTCCTCTCACAGAAACCACAGGACCACAGAGCGAAACCCCAGACCACAGCGGTGAAGAGAATACACACCAGAGCCAGACACTGGATTCGCTCACCGCTGCGCAGCTGCACACACACATCGATCGAATCAGGTCACAAATAAACATCTGAATGAGTTAAACAGAGACACCACAGGACAGTTCTTCAGATCCGGCCCTCGAGGGCCACCGTCGGTCAGGGCCGGATCTGAAGAACCCTGCGGTGAGGCGTCAGGACCACAGGAAGTAGATGATGATGTCATAATGAGAGCGGCACCTTCATTATGATGTAGAAGGCAAAGTAGAGCAGCAGGTTACAGATAGCGATGGCCAGCAGGTACGAAGCGAAGTCACTGGGTCGTTTGATGAGGCCATACGCCGCCCTGAACACACACACACACACACACACACACACACACACACACACACACACACACACACACACACACACA